ACCAGTTGTCGTCCTCTCCACCGGGGTTGGGGTTGGCGGGCTCCTCCTGGCAGCTCTCAGTCGGCAAAGGCCGCAGCACCGGGCTTGCCGTCGTCACCGGATCCTCAAGGATAGTAGCGAGGGGTGTCCCGGACGGTCGCACGAGTGATGGTGTCCGGACGGTCGCACGAGTGATAGTGTCCGGACGGTCGGTGATGTTGTTGTTGTTGTTGTTGCTGCGATGAGCGGTGACGATGTACTTCCACAGGCGTTGGGTGGAAACGTGCAGGACATCGTCACCGGTACAAGCCCGAAGTTGGACGGCACGATGGCAGGGGAGGAGATTAGCCTGCCACTCGTCGTCGTCGTAGTGCAGGTGGCCGTTGTGAGGGCCACGGCCACTGGAGAGCGCTGTGGAGTGGCGGTGATGGAAGGTGCCACTCCCTTTACGGCATCTGCAAAAGTTGTCGTCGGCGAGGCCAGCCGTCGAAGAAATGGCCTCGGGGATGCCGCTGGAGGGGTGCCCGCCGTTGCCGTTGTGGATGCTGGGGCTGGCGACGTCCCAGCCGCCGGTGGAGTGCGCGAATCTCGTCTCGATGGTATCCTCTTTTTATTATTGCCTTGTCCGGACGATCGTGGGTGTTTTCTCCGGAGCCGACTAGAATTAGAGCTCTCCGGAGTAATCGGCTCTGAAGGTGAGGACTTACCTTTACACCGGGGACTGGTGCATTTCCGGTTGTCCTTTGGGGACACCCTGGATGTCCCTGGTGGTGTTGCGCGCCCAGTGCGCGGCGCAGCAGCTTGCTGCGAAGTCGCCGTCGTCGTCGTCGTCGTTGCCGATGTGGACGGCGGAGTCCTCGGGGCGCTTTTTCTATTGTTGATCGGCGGGGTCGGCGGGCACGAGGATGCGCGCCTACGCGCTGCCGACGCCCGCGTCGTCATCCTGGTGCCTCCCGCCGTTGTGGTCGTCGTCGTTTGTTTTGTCGGGAGTCGCCTCCCGGCGGTCGGGGAAGTTCTCGTCCCTGTTGTCGTCGATGCAGTTGTCGAGGTCGGCGTAGTCCGAGTCCTGCTGCTACCCCCCTTTGAGGAGGGGTGGTACACCTGCTTGGTGCACTCCTCGCTGGACTCGCACGACCCCTCGTCGTTGTTTGATTTGCGGGAAAGCCTCCGCTTGTCCTTTTTAAGGTCGGCGGGGCCGGCGGGCAGGACGTTGCACGCCCG